ATTGAGTAAAAAATAAGTGGAATGAGTACAGCACTGTACTACTATCGCCAACTTTAACGTTGTCTCCAGTACAGTGTTGTACACTGTAGCTCTCTAGCCCCCAGTTGGCTTCCGGTTAGCAGCATGGCCAAAGAAACATTCAATCTTTTGGAAAACATTCTGCATTGTTTAGAATTTGATCTGTTTACCACTGTCTGCAATTTAGCGTTCACCAGGAACGGTGCTATTGCACCCATCATTTAAATGCGTCCAATACGCTGAAAACGTTTAATCTGCCGATTTACGACATTGAATTTGTAAATGGTTTTTAAGCACCTGCTATTTTTTTGTTAAGGATCTATTGTTGAACATGTCGAATGCATCAGTAAAATGGGAAATATGAAGAACCAAGAGCTTCCGAAACAGTCGTCGCATTTCCTGGTCATTAGTAATGTTATCACTTCAAGTCAGAAACTTGGGTATCACGATCACACCTTGTCTTAATGGTAACGAAATACTACAGAACTTCATTATGCGCATAGTGGAAGAACTTTCATTCACTTCGTTAAAACAGATCGCAGGCATTCGATCATTTTATACTTAAGCGCTTTCGGTTGTTTTTCCTGGCCTACTGGCTTGCGATTAAAATTCTAAGGAGACAGATCTAGAAAATAAACATGTAGTTATCACGGCTCCACATGAGACAGATCAACTTTTCCAGTGGCGCTAGTCCTTTACCTGCATGATAAACTTTCACAGTGTCTGTTATGCACCAGATCCAGGTACGTATAAATAGCCAGAACGGAGCCGCGCGGAATATTAAAAATCCAAACCTTTGCACGGATGCTTCAAAGCAGCGTTACTGATACTTACGAAATGGCAACGTTCTCTTTGGTTATCATTACTGTGTTGTTTGCAGTCGTATGCTGGATTCATGCATCTTGTGATTCTTGTTCTCTTCCCCTGAGCGTAATTCTGATATGTAGCTGTTTTCAGTTGTCGATCTGTTTGTTTTAAAAATAGAATCCTTTAGGAATCCTATTTAATTTATGAATTTTCTTTCATTCAATAAACCGAATATTAGTGACACCCGATCCATCTTATAATGGTTGCTTGAAAAACGAACAAAATATTGTTTGTTTGATCACTATTTACAGCAACAACTAACTGAATTTTGTTTAAATGGCTTCTAGACAAGATCACTGCGGAGTAGCTTTCCCTTATGAAGGCAGTTTGTGCTATCTCTACTTTGATGACATTTTGGAAATGTTAGAAACCACTGTTGTTAATTTTTACCATGTCACCATGTTGGAAACTATGGTTGTCGATTTTTATCAGTTCATTAAGTATCATTAGTTTTTTGAGATTTACCTTTGACGTTAACGTCGAAACAAGTTGCTATTCCCTGGCATCTTATTCAGAAATAAAGTCAGGCTGTTCAGAACACAGAAACTGTACAAGAGGTCCGACTCGAACAAGAAATGCGAGCTCGATTCTGCTGAAAGAGCAGTCTTTGTCTTAACCGTGAATTCCACTGAAATATACTCGACTGCTTCGGTGCAATCTGGAGTATAACCAGCCAAGCATATCGCTGACAAGTTGCTCACAGAACATCAGGAACAGTATTGTGTCCTGGTGTGGTAATACGGTAATGGGTGAAACGTTGGCCATCCTGTCTGATCGCCTTGACCCACGTGATAGATGCATATTCAATATGCTAACAAATTGTTAGCCCTGTTGTTCTACCTATTCTAACCTCTTTGCTTCCTACACTAGTACATCAGTTTCTTAAAAATT